ATTGTTACCTGCAAGCGGAGCATAAGAAAAACAAAAAATATTTCAATTAAGTGATGTTAGTAGGATTACCAAATTATAGAGCTAAGAAGCTTGGAATAACTAATACTTGAATGGGGATGAAAAATAACCCTATGGCATCCATGCTACTATGACGACTATTAATTTCCATTCTCGTGAGATGCCCCATTGTCAGTTGCACATATTAATTTTAGTTTTAGTCACATGTCACATGGGAGAGAACCAAGTATGTGAACATTTCGAAATAGAGATATTGGGTATAGATGAAGAGGAAGCTGCTCAATGTACAGAATCGTCTGGAGCATCTGCCCGTCTCCTCTCAGATCCTCTCTCCAGTGGTGACTCAGGCAGTACAGGCGCGCGCCTGCCAGTCTACAAATATGCTCAAATCAGTTGACCACCGCCAACAACATTAGCTGTATGTACAAATTAGATTGGAAGGATGTCAGGACAAAGAATTTTTTTGGTGGAAGAAGGATTCGTACATGAAACGGAAACGGAAAGAAATATAGGGGGGCCTGATGTACTGTTGTTGCCCATACACATGTCCTCTCTTGTACAGTGCCCTCCATCACCTCCAATCTGAATTCTGCAGAGCACCAATAGAGGCCCGACCTCCTTGTGCAGTTGCTGGAGCACCATGGAGAAGAACAGGTTGCCCACAAAGAGTTCCCTGTACTAAGAAAAAGTGTGGAAGATTGAATTAAAATAGGCGTTGATCCACCGTCGTCGGCTAGGAGCAGGATGAGACGTCATCCGTCACCGGCGCCGTTGCCGCCAGAGCTATGCATGTGGAGATGTGTCCCAAAGACCAGTGGCCCTTGCCGCACGCTCGCCCCGCCCAGGACTACCTGGAAACCTAGCACGGTTTTCATCGCCGCAACCTCAGCGGAGGCATCGCCGGCTCGTTTCCGCTGCCGCCAGCTCGGTTAGGGATTCTCAGGGCCTGATAGAGAAGGGGGAGGATGAGCGAACTGACCTGGATGCAGCCGCTCTAGCACCGGATCCCCTCCGGCGCCTCGCCTTGGCTGGATCCCCTGGACCGCCGGTGGCCTCGCACGGTCGCACCCGTCTTATCAACTCCCTTGAGCGCTAGATCCCTCACGACGGCTGGCATCCGCTCGACCCCCTCGACCACCAGTTCCGCTAGCGTCGCCTCCTCGGCTACAGATGATATAATGGGCCATTGAAGCCCAGTCAACGACAGGCCTCCAAAAAAATTTCCAGAATAGCTGCCATTAGGACAGGCGGCCCAGTCGCAGTAAACTGGCGCTGAAACATGATCTGACGGCCATAAACAATCTGAATCTGTAATCCAACGGTCAAAATGACTGAGGGCGTGAGAGAGCTCGCTTTAGGATCGGTTATACTGTCCTAAATTTGTGTTCCCGTTGTAATGCTACTTATTTGGACTAGCCTTGGGCTAGAGTTGGACAATATTATTTTGGATCCTTGCGATGTACTAGAATAATGCATTTCTGTTTGGTATTATCGATACCGTGTATCCTGGTAACTGTCCTGGGGCTGGTGTGTTAAGCATGGAGGCCTAAACCTTATCAAGTTGGTCGTTACACATCTTCTGTATGATGGGAGTCCTGCATCAGCTCATCAATTCCACTAATCACGTCAATATCATGTGTAATGTTCAACACATTTTCCCCTCTGTCACCACCATGTGCATTTATATGTTCACCATGTTTACTCCAACATGCATATCCCAACATGAATCCCCTCTTGATCAAATGTGTCTGGATCTCTGTAGTGCTTTTAATATTTTTGCAATTTTCAGACACGAAACATAGGTAAAATGTCCCTTTCCCTTCCCTTCTCAATCTATCTTGATCGGCTGTTTCCAAAAAACCTAACAACCCATCCTTGAACTCATTTCTCAAACGGTTCTCGGTGTATATCCAAGCTCGATCCATGCCTGCAACATAACAAAAGCACCACATTAATAACCTACTATTACAAGAAAGTATATGTGCATCATAATTATATAATTAACATAGTAGCACATATTTTTATTTTACTCTTCATTAACTTTGTTTTACAACAATTCTTTGTAAACTTTGCCCAACGTTGTAGTCATATTTATTAGCATATACAATATCAAATATCAATACCATTGAATTCATCTACACATGCATAACATCAACTTCACTTAAGGAACATGCAAAGTACATCAAAACAGAGGGAGTGTGTGCCTTCGATTCAATTACAAAGGGATAACAGAAGCCCCCCCCCCCTAAAAATGGCGCCTGACGACAACCCACCACTTCAAATCGATGACTGGCAGCAGCCATCCCTCATAATGGTGCCTGACAACAGCCATCCACCCCAAATCGATGATCGGTGGCATCCATCCCATCTAAATGGTGTCCGGCAACAACCCTCTATCTTAAATCAATGATAGCGACAATAGTAGCCTCCCCCTCAAAACGATTACCAGCGACAACCCTCCACCTTAGATCGATGACAAGCAACAACCGCCATCCCACTCGGCATGGTCAAGAGCGACAACACTACCCACTCAAGTGAATGGACAATTTCCCAGCAAAATCAGAGTCTGCCAGATTGGTTACCAAAGTATTGGAGGCAGTTTCCAAATTGCGACCACCACCGTGTATTCTCAAGTATTGGAGGCGGTTTCAAAATTGCAACTGCCACCGTGTATTCTCAAAGGTGGTGTCGTTTCATAACCGCGTGCAATAAATAAGTATTGCGTATGGTTTCTGAACTGCAATCAGATACTCATGTGGAACTACCTCTATTGTTCAACATTACATACGACTTTGTTCCTCTGGTCACAACTGCTTAGGTGGGAGCAGTGGCAGAGCGTAAAGCAAAGTTTAGAGGGGCCAGATGAGTGTATGACATAGAAAAGATATGGTGATAGTCTATTTGGCAAAAAAACTTGAAAGAGGGGGCCAGGGACCGGGTTGGTCCCGCCGACGCTTCGCCACGAGGGGGGGGGGGGACTTTAATGCCTGTTTTTCTACTAGTGCGGCCTCACATGACAAACTTATGATGTTTGCGTACTTCTCCATAGTGAAACACATGAATCTCTTACCGTGAACAATCTGTTGAAGAGACAGCCCCCAATATGAGTAAACTTTTGTGAATTGTTATTTACATGTAGAACATGAATTGTTATTTACATGTACAACATGAATTTAAACACGAAATTTGCTAAAAAAGATACAACAAGAAAAATTGAAGCTTGCTATCCAATGCTTCCAAAAAAACTACCATGCTCTGCCCTAAAAGAACTTGCACTAAGCTATTAGTTTTACAATTTAATGTAAGTAAGTACATTCTAGATCTTGACTCATTGTAGCAAATATATATATACACACACCCTGGGTCACCTTATACCCACTGCCTTGGCATGGAGTATATTAACATTTTTAGGCTCTGTAATATTAGTTATGATTCTTTTTGAACCAATGCCCTCGCATCAAGCCACTGAATGATATCTGAAAACACAATGTCAATGTTGTTCTCTGGTTCACCGGAAGTCAAAACATGACACATCCCTGGGTAGAGCTTCAACATCTTGTCTTTACTCTCAGCTAGTGTATATAGTGCCTCGCTTACTGCTGGGTCAGTCACAGCATCAGCACCACCGTGGACTATAATGAATGGCAGGGTTACCTTGTTGTAAAATGTGAGCAATTTAGATGAACTACAAGCAATTTATGGAAACACTTAAGGATTACCAGTTCAATGTATAAATATACTGCAGCTTACTCGTACCTTTTCAAGGTTGCTTTCAATATCCAAGCTTGCCATAAAAATTTCGTAACCAGTCTTTAGTCTAGGCCTTCCTTTATAGCAATAAGGATTGTTTCTGACCTGATTACATGTATAATTTGTTTTATAATGATGCAGACGATTCAGTGATAGAAAAAGTAATGTAGCATGATTTAGATCTTGAGCATTCTACCTCTTCACGCCATTCTTGGCTTTTAATTGCCCTATCAATGATGTCTTCATTAGGAATAATCCTCCATGTAGGGATTACATTGCTGAGCTTGCTTAAGATTGTAATCACCATGGGACTAGGCTTCATTTCTTCTACGATCTGCATCATGTTACCACATCAATAATTAAGTCCCACCATGCATTGTTGAACTTACCCACATATAACAATTCATGGTAACACATGGGGGCGCAGATTGTAGATCTCAAAAAATTCTGGACAATAACAAAATGACACTAGCAGCAAAGACAAGATTAGCTAATCTTGGGCACTTAACCTTGCACATGGGGGCGACTAAAATGGCCCCATCCCAAAAGGTAGGTTCCTTCCTGTGAAGCATCAATGCGATAGCTCCTCCCATGGACTCACCGAGCAAGAACTTCCGTTTTCTCATGTGCTCCTCTTTCTCTATAATGAGGGGAACATGACTTCATTTAAGATTTTAACTATCATTTTTAAAAGATTTAAAGTTTTCTAGACATCTACAAATCACCTATATCTGCCAATAATCATGAAAAATGCCGGTCATTATATAAACATATGCTTACTGATTATTTATGAACAGAATGACTACTAATGGAGACAATACATAACTATGGAGATTTGGAGTGGATTTTACAAGTTATATGACGCAAGTAATAGAATATATGAGACTAGTAATATACAAAACATACCACAAACACTTGCAAAGTATGTAAAGCAATCAGCCACGACATCATTTTTTTTGACGAAAAGACTGCATGATGCAGCATTTCATTGAAATTAGAAAAGAGTTTTACAGGGGTATAGCAACTAGCAAGTTACCCAGGATACAAAGCTAGTATCCAGCCACCGAATTACAGTCTGAACCCCATTACTAGCCTACCAACAGCACAAAAATTAATCTGGTTCCCTAGGTCTGTGGATCATTAGGGCCACCTTATGCTTGCCTGCCAACGTCCAATCAATGAGATCATTCTTGATTCGATCCAGCACCTGTTCTTCCGTCGAGCTCTTGTGGTCAAAAATCCGCGAGTTCCGCTCCTTCCACACTGACCACCACATGAGCTGCACTAGCGAGCTCCGTGCTGCCCTGTGTATCTTCGGCACCTGCTGCCTTGATCTCGACCACGACATCATTTAGATTGCTAATATAGCCTTGAAGTCCTGAAGACTTTCCATGGCCTTCATAGTCCACTCCGTGCACCGCAAATCCAGCCTTTGCCAGCCGTGTGCCGGTGCCTGAGAACAAAAGACGTTAATTTATTGTCCCTACTCTATAATACTTATCTGGTTGTTCTTCTTTAGCATTAATCTAAATGAAAATGGGATTGATGCATGGGTATATGATCACATTTGAAAAAAAATTGTGTACCATTATTTATGAATCAGCACAGAGGCCATTTTGTTTGATATTTTAGCTAAGTACAAGCACATAAAGGCCAAATGGTCATGCTATTTACCTCTCATTGAAATGCTGCATTCCATGGCATATCCTACAAATATAGCAAGAACATCACGTGTACAGTTAAACTATATGACGCAAAATACTGCAGAGTTCTGTTCTTTTGGTAAATATCATGGTATTTTAAATTTGAATGCAATATATTTCAACTAAATGAATTTACCATGACATAAGAAGATGAGAGCTTTTGGTTCGTAGTTTGAAGGGCTCCATTGGCATGTAAAGAGGTTCAATCCTCGTGCATTTGAAATATATTCCTGCAACCAATTTTTCCAACAGATCATTCAGTAACATGCTAATACAAAATTAAAGTATCACATCAAACATAAATAAAGAACTCAATGCCGGATGCACCTTCAAAACAAAAGATTCAGCATAAGGTAGGAACGAATATATAATGTATTTAGCGGCTTCGTTTCTGTATGAAACCAACTAACCTCTTGATATTTGATATCACCATTGGCCATTGCTCTTGATAGAAAACGATGACTTCATGGCTAATGTATATGTGCAAAACTCAGACATTAAGAAGTGATTTAAAAAAAAGAGCGGTCGTTATATATACGTCCAGATCTGTGGACAGTTCTCATTTTGTTCATGGATGGTGTTCTTTATATCCATGCATGAAGTTGCGGCATGTATGGTCTAGGAGTGATCAATTTTAACCAACAAGGCTAAGTTTAGTTTGAACTACCTACCTCAGTTAGGCCATCCTAGATTAGGTCTGAGTTTTTTTGTGGTTAAATAATGGGAAGAAAACTAGTTGTACCCCGTGTGTGGCACAAGATAATCGGTTGTTTTCGTTCTATCTGTCATTGTTTGGTCAGGAAAAATGCCAGAGAATTGCGTTTTAAACACATGTTGCTGATCAACTGACGAGTCCATGTCAATGAACGTGTGGCATATATACATCATGATCGGCCCATTTGCTCTGACTTGAATTAAATGCGATGTATATAAGATAAGACCTGGAGCTGGAGCTGTGATGTGCAGCGCACAGTCCAAAACTGTTGGTCGTTGCTCAGTTGTTATCACGCCCTACTGTCGCGTTTCGCAAAAGGAGAAAACAAAATATGTGCAAGAATTAGCAGGGAAGTCTGTTCTTTGAACAGTGAACATCCAGATACACACAAATGTGTCCCCATTTGTTTGACTTTGTGTTGTTGATTCAGACAAAAATCCAGCATATTGAATTATTCAGTGCAGGTTCAGAAAGACGAACCCGAACATGTTACTTGATGCGTTGGTAGCAAGGTACAGATTCTCCAGAAGATGGGAGAAGAATATGTATGTACGCATGCAGGCCGGCCGGCGGCGAGGAGACGTATAGGCACCAGCAGATTAAGAACCTGGTTTGTTTTCGGTGATTATGGAGAGAAAATTGAATATTTGCCACTTTCAATACGTGGCTTCTCAAAATTGCCACTTTCTCCTATGAGGTACAATATGTTTATGAGAGTTGATGATGATGAGTAGTTGTGATTTTGTCTAGTGACCAACTTGTATGTGATGTCTCATTGATGAAAACAATTATCATGAGGAGGTGTTATATGACAATGATGTATTATGATGATAAGTTATTAATGATATAATGATGATGATGATGATATTTATTATATCATTGGGAGAAAGAACCGTGGACTAGTTTCAAGTGGATGGGGATTCGCAAAATTGCCACTTTGTTCTTTGGCTCCTTGATTACCATATCACTTCCCTCCTTTTAGTGATTTTCCTTTTTCTTTTTTATTTATAAGCATGGGAAAAGACCAAACTGCCCCCTGATTCTATGTATACAATATACTACGTACTGAGATCTGATTATCTGCATCTGGTATTCTCGTTCGAGCAGAGGAGAGAACGAACCACACAAGCACCTGCTGACGCCGCCTGCCCGGTCGCCGTCGTCGCTCGCTCGGCCCGACCGCTATCGCCGGTCGCTCTTATGCCCGTGCGCCATAGCCGCTCAGTCCGGCCGCCTGCACGGCACTCGCGCCGCTCGTCCCGGTCTCGCCGCTCGTCCCGGTCTCGCCGCTCGGCTGATACTTGAGCCGCAGCGCCGAGCAGCTGACGGCGACGTCCTCGCTGCGGTCCAGCCGCTCTCTGATGGCGTCGCGCAGCGACTCCGGCCACGGGAGGCGGTCCTCGTCCGTGAGCGGGACGCCCCTGCTCATCTTCTCTGTTTTGTTCGACATGGGCAGGGAAGGGACACAGAAGTTCAGAGTTTGCTCTCAGGTGAAGAAGCTTCAGACATGGCACTGCAGGTAGTGCCTTTGTTGGTGTGGGAGTGGTGGTCGTCCGCCTCGACGAAGCCGCAGCCCAGCGCGTCGGCGAGCATCGCCGCCACGGTCCTGCGGCAGAGAATTCGCATAAGAGCAGAGCAGAGGGCAGCTGCTGCTCCCCATGTTGTCTTCTTCAGTGTTGAAGTTGAGAGAGCAAGCAATAAGAGAAGATGGGATGATTGCTGAAATTAGATCTTACGAGATTGTTCTGTTAGGATTCATACAAGATTGTTTTATGGCATTTAAAACTATGACGCTATATCACCAGATGTATGATATAGTACTATTTTTCAGTTCCCTGGGTTGCTTCGGTATCCATTTTCCTACCTAAATTTTCATCGGAATGCAAGATGTTCTCAACTGTCCTGAATTTGAGTCAGAATGCAAGACGTTCCCAAATGTGCTGCTGGTTATATGACTGTACCTGACATTCTCTCATTTTGTTTGAAGGATGTACTCTAGCTAAATGTTGGATATTTATATCCACACAGCAGACCACAAATTTCTACAATATGAGTGTATTGACCAGACCACAATTATGGAACAACCATACTTTAAACGACAAAAACTAAGCATAATCTGCTATATATCCACACAGTACGTCGACATGAGAAGAATAATAATGAGACATAAACTGGGCATAATTTGTTGCATCTCACGACTCACTTAAATTTTGAGTTCCAAGCTCATTGAAATTGTGAGTTAATATTTCACATAAGCAACACACTGAGTAGAACTACTAGTGAGTTCACTTCTTCATAACAAGCATATTGAAAGTACTTGTTCACATCTGACATAATGCCATCTCAAACAGATCATTCATCCAACTGGTAGCTTCCTCTTTGGAGTCATCTTCTTCGGTGGAGCTGCTGTTGGCATTCTACTTGGGGTCATCTTCTTTGGTGGAGCTGCTGTTGGCATCCTCTCTGGGGTAGTTCTAGTGGTTTGTGAAGAACTACCCTCTCCCAACAAGATAGCAAGGAGGCTGCACACATATATATTATCACATTTAGATAAAGTATTTTTGTTCCCCATTTGGACATTGCTGAACATTTGCAGCTTACCTTCTAGTGACCATGCTTGGACTGTCCTGCAATATTTGTTCTCTAGTAGGTCTTTGTGGGGTGCTAGGTTCAGCTGGCCTAGCTTTTGTACTGTTCTTTCTAGGCTTCCTCTTCCTGCAATTCAACAAAAAAAAAATTATTTTTGGCATGATGTGATAATTTAAGCTTTGACTGAAAGAAAAACACTTGCCTTTTTTTGCTTCCATTGAGTGGACACTTGTAACTAGCTTGCCTATGACCCTTTTCGCCACATTTCTTGCAAGTCACTGGCCCTCTAATCATTTTCTTTCCCTTAGAATTGGTGGGAGCAGTGCTATCATCCTTGGGAGCATCATTGGCACCTTTTTTCTTGTGGCCACCTTCAAGACATCCTTTGATCCTCAATTTCCTTTGTCTTCCTTTATTTCTTTTCGCAAGTGGTGCCCCCACCACAAATGGTAGCTCCACACGTGGCCATTGTGATTTATCTGTCATTGGCTCAATCTCTCTCCCATAAGCAGCCTTGAATCTGTCCACCGAGTAGTACTCATGCACAAATTGTTCAAGGTTTACTCTCTTTTGGGATGTCACAAAGGCCAAGACATGTCGACATGGCTTACCAGTATGCTGCCATTCAAGACAAGTACACGTCTGTTGATTTAGCTTCACGACATGCCTTTCACAGTTCTTGCTATTATCCCACACCTCTGCACTCCAATTAGCAGATTCCACTACTTTTAAGTGCCCCAAACCTATAGTATTTGCTCTCAACTGAACCATAATTGCCGGTAGTATACGTCCAGGTGGTAGCCTTTCTCCAATCCTTCTCCTCTTCCTCCACAAAAGCATGATCATCTCTCTAATCTTATCAGCTAGTTCAGCAACAGGTAAATCCTTAATGTCTCAGATCCAGTTGTTAAAAACCTCTGCTACATTATTAGTGATATAGTCACACTTGATATCTGGATTGAAAACACACCTCATCCACTTCAGAGTGTGGTACTGACTCAACCATTTCCATACCTCATCTGATTGTTTAATGATTGCTGCCATATGTTCAGTGAACACATCTTCCCTATAAGCCCTTGCTGCAGGGTACATCCTTCCAAAGCCATGGAACCTTTTTGAATAATTCTTCATAAGATGGTAAAAACATTCCCTTTGTTCAGCATTGGGAAACACATTCTTCACCGCATTCTCCAAGCCTTTGCAAGCATCTGTGCACACTGCAAGCAGTGGAGGATCTCCTATTGCCATCTTAAGTTGATTCATAAACCATGTCCAATTGTCTTCTGTCTCAGATGCAATGAACCCAAAAGCAAGTGGATACATCCAATTGTGACCATCAACTGCCGTAGCTGAGGCTAAATGGCCATTCCACCTTCCATTCAATGCAGTAGAATCTATACTCAGATGTGGCCTACATCCTTCCAAAAAGCCATCAATGCATGTTTTAAGTGCACAAAAAAACCGATGAAAATACACATTACCATCTATTTCCAGTACTTCAATCTCCACAACACTTCCAGGTGACCTCTTCAGGTACCTCAGCCTTCCATTTATATAACATCTCAAAACTCTCTTCCCATTTACCATAAACCTCTGCAAGAGCTTTTTCTTTCCCCCTCCAGACCGTGTCATATAGAATCGTGACTTTGGATTGTTCTTGCAACTTTTTCTGTAATTCTTTAGCACCCATATTAGGTGAACTCCTAAGGATACTCACAGCCTTGTTAGCTACCCAGTCTTGCGATGGCGTTATGGTCTTCACTCTGCTGCTTGAAACACAATCATGTTGATCAACTAAAACTGTGACCTGCACATATAGAATTTAAAAATGAAGGAAAGTTATCTTACATTCTTAAGAAGTTGATCCCCAGTATTACCAATTCTCTCAACATGCACACTGTCCACATCATCGCGATGCCACATCAGCGTTCTCTCAACACATGCAGCCTCCACCTCAGCAAAAAAATCCAGAATCGTTAGGTATAATCTGAGTGGGATCAATTCATATACTGATAGGCTCTATAGTGCACATCCGTCCCTCTTCGTCTTCTAAAACTGATGAGATAGTGTACTACTAAGAGCCGAGACGCACTCAAAAAAAGAAAGAGCCGAGACGCACCATCTTATCCTCATCTCCCACCTCGCCTCCTCCCTGTCTCTG